GTGATAACTATTTTCAAAACAGCTAGATATATACAATTCGAAAACAAAGCATAACAACAAACATACAAATTCCAGTACAAATGCAAGTTCAACCAACGGTAAAGACTCAGTCAGTATCAATCCACAAACACAAGTCAATTATCATAAAATTACGTGCAATGTTGCATTGTCTTTTTGCCTCATGCAGCGTCAAAGTGTTTTAGGCTTGCTTACCAAAATATCATCATCACCAACACATGCCTGCACGTGAGACGATATCCATGTTTCCAAATTGTAAGGGTCTTTCCCTTTTGCCTTTATCTAGGAGTTAGCCAAATAAGAAACCGGTGGTCAAGTTCACTTAGACATAAGGAATGAAAAACATAACTAGGAATGATAACTTCAAATATCGATAGGAAAGACACAAAGAAGATCATGAAGGACCTCTTCAGCCAACGTCGTGAATTGTTTATTGCCTGTCTTGTGCATAAACTTTCTTTTGATGACATTATTGGTATTTCTCCTTGCAACATCCTGTAAACACCGACTAAGGGGTGCAATAGCATGTAGACAAATCCCTGCCATGGTGGGGAGTGCCCATGCCCTCACCAAAAGGTTTGGATCCCCCAAATCCTACTTAAAATAATATATTGAAAGCAATGTCCTACTTGGCTACCTATAATATAAGAAAGCATACCACTCATTGTCAGTTTCTCCATTAAAAGAATCAACAAGGGTTATTTCACATATATTCATTACAATAAAGCTTGAACCTATTGGATCACAAGAAAAACTGCAAATCAAACTGCAAACACGAATGTATTGAAGGCATACTTTTTGGTGTAATGCAATAAGTACAAGTAAACTAGCTTCTTAACCTCCCGTGACAACCATGTTACATTTTTAACCACCTATAATCCATTTTTAAACACCTGTAATCCAAAGAACAAGTCTTCTAACCACCTAACTTCAAACCAAAAACGTCAAGTAATCAAAGCAAAAAGAAAAAAAAATGTCTAATTGAACTAAAAACATTAAATGAGGAACTATTAGCAGAGAAATTCCAGAATAGCACATCAGCTCACGTTGGGAACTAACCTGTGGGAAGTTACAATAGTGAACATGCTCCCCCATGCAACACTTACCTGTAAATCATATATATCCAACACAAGAATTTGTAAGAAAGAAGAATCCAACATTAACAACAAATATAGTTAATTAATTAACTAAATTAATCTCAAGGCACAAATACACACACACATATATATATATATGGGGTAGGTCTCTATACCACTATCAAGTAGGGGCGTAACATAATGCAATGAAATAATATATATTAGAGATCACTTAATGATCAGGTTGGCATATTCAGTGATATCAGAAATAGTTAGCTTCCCAAAAAATTTTATGTCAAGATGTATGAAGCCAATCCTGTAGTTGCCACACAATGAGTTGTTTTTCTAACTCAACTAGGTATTGATCTTAGGTAGTTTTACCTATTAATGAAATGGTTTGCAAGTGAATTAAGTTGCAGTGCAAAGATCAGAAACTCAGAACAAGGGAATCGATGTGAAAATTTTGAATTGAGATGAAAGCTCCAAATCATAAAAACACATAGTGAACTTAAACTACAACTTCAACAATAAGTTAATGGTGGATGGATGCAACTGTTGGACTGTAGCACATATGTTATATGTATGATCCATATAGAAAAAGTTGCATGATATATAAGACTTGAAGTAAGAACACCTTATTGAAATCATCTGACAACTATCAACACATAAAGCTAATGTCCAAATGATCAAAACACACACATAATAAATAAATAAATAAATAAGAAAGAAAGAAAACAGTGCAGCAGACCACAACAGAAAGGACATGTAATTTTTTAAAATTGTATTCAATTTTTATAATTTTAATTCTTATTCATAAATAGCAACCCTCCAATCTATAAGTTGAGGTCAGCTCAGTACAACCAAGTTCTTTTTCGTTTCCCTTTCTTTTCCCCTTTAATGCTTTCTAATCATCAATTTTCGGCTCATGACCTGTCCACCAAAATTTCCCTCAAAAGCTTCCACCTACTTAACCATTTCATTACTAATTAATTTATACAAATATACATGTAATACAGACAATACTATTTATGCGTTCCACAAAATATCACATATATACGAGCACACTAAATTATTCAATTACTACTCAGTAATCTCCCGGCTAACTGAAAATACAAAATTTAGGGATACATCATATAGAAAGAAAATATTTATAAGACAATGGAATCAGGCACGCATCAATTCAAAGGATCAATAAAGAGGGGAATCAACACAATCATCTACATTACCATGACCTGACCGAAAAAAATAAAAAAAATCAATGACATTGTAAAACCCAAAAATTTGAAAAACTGAAAAAAGGATATAATCAAACTAAATAGCTCTCATACAGGAAGACGCCGGTGAAGCGGGCGGCGGTCGAAGGACCGGTGGGGAACGAGGAAGGGCGGGACTCGGCGATTATGGTTGGACGGCGACTGCTGGTCGGGTGCGTCCGTGGAGGACCGGACGCTGCTGGTGCGGCGAGCATGGACTGGTGGTCGGGCACGGCGGCAGTGTGGCTGGAGCGGCAGGTAAGGGACGCATTCGTGAGGAATTGATGGAATTTGTGGCTGCTGGAACGAGAGATTTCTGGTTGGGGGAATTCGATTGGGAAAATTTGATAGGTTACCAATTTTTTTATTGAATTTTTTTCTAAAGAAATAATAATAATAAATTTTTAATATTTACGCAAAAAAAATAATAATAATAGATTTTAAAGGAAGTTAGGACACGAAGTCGGACGGAAAAGGAGAAAATATGCACTCAGGTCGGTTGGTCCGCGGTCGGTTGGTCCACAGTCGAATAAGCAGGTCGGAAGGTCCGCGGTCGGACAGGAAGGTCGAAAGGTCCGCGGTCGGAAAGGCAAGTCGGTTGGTCCTCGGTCGGATAGGCAGGTCAAAAAGTCTGTGGTCGGATAGGCAGGTCGGAAGGTCCGCGGTCGAATAGGATGGTTTGCAGTCGGTTGGTTCGCAGTCGGTTGGTCCGCCATCGGTTGAGTCGGCCAATACGAAGTTTGGACCGAGCGAAGAAGGTTTGTTAATTAGTCACCTAATTAAGTGAACAGTAGTTCAGTCGCTTGGTAGGGGCAACCATTGAATCGTCTGGAAAGATCAGAGGGTGGTCGCTTGATGGGACGACCAAGGAGTCGTTTGGTCTAGCGACCAGTTAGTCTTTGGATTGGTCGCTTAGGTTATGCGGTTGGCGAGACGGTTGCCGTAACCGACCAGACGATGTTTCAAAATGTTTCGTTGTGGGCGGTTGACGGCGGTTGCTGGCGACGGTTCCGAAACATCTCTTCTGATGAATATTTAAGGATTGGGGTCAGCAACTGGCACGGTATCTTCAATCATCTTTAAACGACAGCAAAGTCAGTCATTCGGGGATCATCCTTTAATTTTCAGTCTGTAGCATTTATTTTCCAACTTATTTATATACCATACAGTGTTTAGAGATTCCTAATCTCAGGCACTAATTATATCTGTTGATGTATTTTTTCAACAATAAAAAAGTAAAATCCGAAAATAAGAAATTATCTTCGAATTTGATATATTTAGCGTATGAGATTAGGAATCTTTAAACACTGTAGGATACATAAATAAAATAGAAAAATAAAGCTACAGACTAAAAAATAAAGTGGTGATCTCCAAAAGAAATTCTCTTTAATTTGATGTCGATTGAAGATAATTGAAGATAAAAAATCCACATCCTTAAATATTCCTTCAAGAAAACGTTTCAGAACTGTCGCCTGGTTGGTTATAACAACCGCCCACTAATTCCTCCTTTATTAACACGTGTCTTTAACCGTCTCGCCAAACGCTGCCACAAGTTCCAGAACTCAACTGGCCCGACCGACCATTCCAGAGACTAACCGGTCGCTAGACCAAACGATTTATTGGTCGCCCCATCAAGCGACCAACAACTGATCTCTCTAGACGATTCAATGGTCGCTCCAACCAAGCGACTTGTTGGTCCGACCGCAGACCTTCCGACTTGTTGTTCCTTCCGCAAACTCCCGACTTGCAGACCATCCGACTTGCTAACCAAACGACCTACCCATCCGACCGCGGACCTTCCGACCTGCCTATCCGACTGAGGATCAACCCACCTGCTTATCCGACCGAGGAGCAACCGACCTGACCAACCGACCGAGGACCAACCGACCTGCCTATCCGACCGCGGACCTTCCGACCTGTTTATCCGACTACGGACCAACCGACCTGCTTATCCGACTGCAGACCTTCCGACCTGCCTATCCGATTGAGGACCAACCGACCGTGGACCAACCGACCTGAGCGCAAATTTTTCCCCTTTTTCACCCGACTTCATGTCTAACTTCCTTTACGATCCTGCTATCCTTATTTTTATTATTATTATTATTATTTTTTGTGCGTAACAATATCATCAACACAAATAAAATTTGCACATATTGTTTTAATAAAAAGAATATTATTATATTATTTATTAACCATATATTTTTTAAATTTGTTATTTTAAAAATATTTTATATAGATTTCTTTTTATTTATAGTTAATACAAAAAATATTTTCATTGGAATATTTTTAATATTTAATTTTTGATATTTTTTCAATCAAAAAAATTGTATTATAAATTTTATTTTAAAAATAATAATTTTTATTATTTTTCTAACGATTGAACCGGGCATAACAAATATAAATAAGATGATATATTCTAATAATTATTATTGTTATGAAAAAATATTGCAACAAAAACAAGAAGAGTTAACTAAATAAAAAAAATTATTTATCACAACAAAATTCAGTACAAAAAATAGCTTTTTGCAACGAAAAAAAATGTTTCTAATGAGAATCGCATGCAAATAGACGATATTTTGGTAGTGCGTCACCCCAAACGTCATTGTTTCTAACCTCATCCGATCACGCCTATATATCCTCCTCCAGCCTTTCTGACCACTCAACTCAAACATCTACCTACACATTTTATGCTACTAATACTAATACGCCCATCAATGGAATTGCGCCACGTGCTCCTGATATCCCTCCCCGCACAGGGCCACATCAATCCCGCCCTTCAGTTCGCCAAGCGCCTCCTCCGCCTCGGCATCCGGGTAACTTTCGTCACCAGCATTTACGCCCGCCGCTGTATGGACAAGACCGCCGGCGCCGGCGCACTGCCTGACGCCCTCTCTTTCGCCCTCTTCTCGGACGGATACGACGAAGACTACGACCGCGAAACCCTTGATCATGACTACTACATGTCCAATTTGCGGAGCAATGCCTCCAAGGCTTTGAGGGACGCCATTGCTGCCGCCGCCGACCAGGGCTGCCCCGTCACGCGCCTCGTCTACACTATCCTCCTGCCGTGGACCTCCCAGGTGGCGCGTGACTGCAACGTCCCCAGCGCGCTGCTCTGGATTCAACCTGCCACCGTCCTCGACATATATTATTACTATTTTCATGGCTTCCAAGACGAGATCGCCTCCAATTCCGGTGACCCGTCGTGGCGGCTTCAGCTCCCCGGAGGACTCCCCCCATTCTCAAAACGAGACCTTCCATCGTTCCTCCTCCCGACAACCTCGGAGAAGCATAAATTCGTGCTCCCGATTTTTAAGGAGCAGGTGGACGTGCTGGACAGCGAGGAAAGGCCGAAAGTGCTTGTCAACACATTCGACGCGCTGGAAGCAGATGCACTCAAAGCCATCGACGGCTACGAGCAGATCGCCGTCGGGCCGTTGATTCCATCCGCCTTCTTAGACGGTCAGGATTCGTCCGACAAGTCCTTCGGCGGCGATCTTTTTGAGATCAAATGCAACAATTACTTGGAGTGGCTGAACACGCAGCCCAAATCATCTGTTGTCTACGTGTCGTTCGGCAGTTTGCTTAGGCTGCCGAAGCCGCAGCTGGAGGAGATCGGAAAAGCTCTGATCGACTCCGGCAGACCATTTCTATGGATAATTCGAACGGACGACGTGGAGGGGAATTCGATCAGTCGATTGGCGGAGCTGGAGAAGATGGGGAAGCTCGTGCCGTGGTGCTTACAGCTGGAGGTTCTGACGCATCCGTCGGTGGGGTGCTTCGTGACGCACTGCGGCTGGAATTCGACGCTGGAGAGCGTGTCGTGCGGCGTTCCGGTGGTGGCGTTCCCGCAGTGGGCGGATCAAGGGACGAATGCGAAGCTGATTGAGGAGGTATGGCGGACGGGCGTACGAGTGAGGGTGGAGGATGATCGGACGGTGGAGAGCGAGGAGATAAGGAGGTGCGTCGAGGCAGTGATGAACGGCGGGGATCAGAGCAGAGAGGTGCGGCGGAACGCGGAGAAATGGAAGGGATTGGCTAGAGATGCTGTGGACGATGTTAGCGGGTCTTCTACAAGGAATTTGAAGGCCTTTTTTGCGTAAGGTCAATAATTATTAATGACATTCGTAATAACGTGTGTGCTTTCGTGTTTTTAGTATTTCTTAAACTGCAATTTAGACTTTATTTTCAGGGTACTTTTAAAAATTTGGCATTATCTAACTTGTTAAAAAAAATTATGGTGTAATTTTTTTATTTTAGTCTATCTCATATTTTTTTTATTAAAAAAAAATTATGCATTTTAATCTTATTTTTATTATCTTAATTAAAATTTAAAATTAATTTTATAATACAATAATTATTTTTACTAATACATTATTAATTATTTACTAATTATAAACCTCTTAATTTTTTATATCTACGGTAAAAGAAACACAGTAGCCGGACGGAGGAAATATTAAATATAATTTTTTTTTATTTTTTTATCTTTTCACAGCCAGTATATCAAATATTAAGAGTGCATTTTGAAAGATTTAATTTTGATGTAACATTAAAATAATATTTAATTAAATATTTTTTGAACAAAGAAAAAAAAAATCTTTTTAAACCTCATAATTCAAATAGTATAATTTAAAAAATTTTTAGTTTTTTTGCTAAGGCCACCTAATAGGTTCCTTAGACCATTCACAATCCAAAATAAATAAGAACTGTTCTTATATTTTTTCTAAAGGTCATATTATGCAGTTTAAGAACTTATCAAAAATTTATTTAGTTCTTACCTCATAACTCAAATAAAAATTCTTATATTTTTTTTCTTCCACTTCAATAAATTTATTATTTTACTTAATATAAATATTATATATTTTATAAATTGTTAATAAAATATATAAATTAATTATGAATATAGTATTTCTTTTAGACAAATTTGTTTTAAAAAAATTAATATTAAAGTAATTATTTTAATAAAAAATATATTTAAAAATAATTTTTTTACAATATAAAATATTAATAATAAAAATAATATTAATAATATATACTATGTAATAAAATTAAAAGCAAAATAAAAGAAATAAAAAAAGCAAAAAAAAAAAAAAAAAAAAAAAAAAAAGGAAAAACAAACCTACCTTCTCTTGGAGGAGAGTGAAGGTCCTAGAACCTATTTTATATATATTTTTTTGTATTTTAATGATGTGGCAATGCTACATTAAGCAGGGTTTTTATATTGATAAGAGTGCGTACAATGGCTCGAATTTAGACTCAGTTGATGGCCATTCTCGATGTGGGCCGGTTAGAAAGTCCATTTTTATTAATCGCAATGGCCGTATTCTCGACATTGAATTCTCGATCTTGCATTGACGGAGACATAGTGCAGGTGAAGCCACGTCGAGGAGGGCAAGGAGTAGATTTTCATTCTCTTCTCTTGCTCTTCCCTTTTCTTCTTTTTGTAATCCAATTTATATAGAGTCCCTTTCTTTCCCATTTTCTCCCTCTCTTCATTTTCCCGTAGATGTAGAAATCACCTTTGTTCGCATTGTCCAGGAAGTAACCTAGACTGACAGTCGACCACGGTTCATCATCAGATCCCCACCATCGAAGAGTTACAACGAAAGATGGCTAAATACAGGTAACCAATTTAAGAGAAGTTGCAATTAAATAGTTCCAATAATAATTTCTTGGTGTAGTACAAGCGATTTCATAGAAAAGTGGAAAAATTGGGAAGTAATTTGTATTTTGGAGTGGGAGTGGTGCCAATCTGTTAATAGTTGCACAAGGGTTTTTTTGTGGGCATTTCGATGATCCATTTATGTAGAAGAGGAATTATCGAAAACATATTTTTTTGTGTTTGTATTGCAATTGATTGATTGGTATACGATAATAAAGGCGAATCAAGAAGATGCTTTTAGGGTTGGGGAAGTTTATTCAGTAGGTTCTTTTTTGTTTGGTGTTCTAGGTTTTGAATGACCTAATGTTAAGCAATACAATGAATTAGTCGATTCCTCCATTATCCAGTCTGTTGTGGGAATCAATTAAATCATCTAAAATGTAGATAAGAACAAAATTCATAATTACCATATTTATTATAAAAAAAGGTAAATTACCGTCGTATCTTTCCCATATCCAGGTGCTATTACATTTATTATTGCAATCCTGTAGTTCCGGTTTTGTTAGGAATGAAGTATGGATTTCTGGTTGTATTTACTAATATATAGTACATGTTTTAACTCTGAAAGTTTGTTGTCACTTTATTTTCACTATTAAAGGGGCTGAAGTTTTTGTTTAAGGGACTCAATTTTGTAAAAATAGCATAGTCAATTCAGTTCAACACAAATTTGCTTTTGTAAGCATATACGAGCCGAATAGAATGAGTTTTTTTGCTATGCTTCCCTTCACATGTCAATCCTCATATTTTGTAATTGAAAGTCATGAAGGAGAGGTTCACCATGCACAAGTTATGTTAAATTTTCATAAACGTTGTAAATTCTTGATTTGAGGCTCAAAAGACCATTTTTAGTTTGCATCGGTTCAAAAATATAATGAAGTTCTATGACATGATTGTGTACTCGGTATGGGTATGATCTCCCTTTCAGTTTTCTGATGTTTGTTTGTTGTATTATAGTACACTGTTGGATAGCATTGCAAACCTCGGCTGCTTTATAGCGGACTTACAACTACAGGACATTATTGACATATATGTTGTTAAATAAATATCTGTATTCGAATGTACGGGTTTCATATACGTTTTGGTCTGCACGAGAATGCAAGAAATTTTATTGTAGTTACACACATGTAGAACCATCAACATTTGTTTTCATATATGCATCAAGCTTTTGTCTTTGGTGGTGTTGGATCCTGCGATTCAGAATTCCAAAATAGCTCGTCGATTTCGTCGGCGTGGGTTCCGGAAGTACTCCAGAGAGCCAATCCGTCGTCGGGCAATGCGAATTTTACACGATTATTGAACTAAACTACAATTAACTACGGAACGCGAGTAAATAAATTGTAGAAAGCATATAATCGGAATTAAATTGCATAAACGAAAATAAAACAAGGAAGAAAAATATGAAAAGATGCGATTTTCTGTTGTGCGTGTGTGTGTTGTGTTTATTTTTCCTATTTGTAATCCTAGGCTAGAATAACCACTTCTCCCACTAACAGGGGTGGTTACAAATTATTCCCACTTCTTTCTACTTCTCTTAACCATCAAATAACCTCCTTCCATCAGTTTCCAGCGGTTTCCATTGCTCCTGGACCGGGTTCCATTCGTCTTGAGCATCTTCCATCGTTTTTGGACCAAGTTCCATTCGCTTTGGATCTCTTCCATTGCCTTCAGATCATACCTGCAGCCTACCCTGATTTATTTCCATCATACTCCCAGCCGGTCTACGGGAATATGTTCCCGACAGCCTTGAGTTACATGGAACCCTCACTCTTCATGGTCTTCCATTAGTGTCATGAGGTTGCCGATTCAGAGTTGATGGAGCTTGTCGTCCGAAGGTCTATGGAAGTCATATCTTCTTGCTCCATGGAAGCTCCGCAACCTGATGGAAGTCACTATCTTCGACATTTAAGTCATTTTGGACTTGAGGTCCAACAATTGCCCTCCTCAAAAAGAGATGAAATGTAAGCTACGTGAAGCTTTGCTCTCTTTTTGGGACTTCCTTCATGTGGGACTTACCCTCTTAGGCCTTGGCACAAACTTATCCCAACTTGATATCTCACGTCAACCCCTCTAACCTTGATGCGACGGCTGCTTCCTTCGATTCCCGTATCGTCTAAGAGAGAAAAGACATTCAAGGGTTTTTTCCTAAGGGTTTATCATCACTCCCCTCTTCCACTTCTTCTCTCGTTTCTCCTTCGAAGGCTTTTCTCCTGTTTGGTGAACACAAGTATCAAGTTGTATGGCTTCTTTGACGGCTCTTCCTTCAAGTAGTGTAGCTAAACCTTCGTTGCAAACTGTTGCCGACGTCCAAGTGTCTATTGCTCACGTTGTGAGGGATTTGATGTCAGCCTTAGAAGTGGCAGTAGACCATAATGCTTCCGAATCGCCTTCGACTTCAGCAGTCCCCATCTCCGAGGAAGCAACATCAATTCCAGAGGGCTCGACTTTAGCCGATGTAGCTTCGAGCTCTGATGGAACAGCCTTGTCTTCGGAGGGCCTTATTTCTGCAGGTGTGGTTCCAATCGTTGCTGGAGTAGCCCTGGCCCCAGAGATTTCAACTTCAGTGGAAGCAGCGTCAGTTCCTGATGGAACAGCTTCACCTCTGGAAAACCCGATTCTGCCCTCTATAGATCCGATCCCCATGGAAACAGTTCCCGGGCCTGATGGACTGGTTCCAGATCCGGCAAATCTGATTTCAACTCCAAAGGATCCAATCCCTACGGAAGCAGCGCCAGGCCTCGATGAAACGGCTCCGTCTAAGAAAGGTCTGATTCTAACTACAACGGATCCAGTTCCCGTGGAAACAGCGCCAGGTCCCGATGGAACAGCTCCGTCTCTGGAAGACCCGACCCCAGTCCTAACAGATCCAGCTTCCGTGGAAGCAACACCTGATCCTGATAACTCCGAGCCCGATGTGGACCCAGCAGCAAAGGATACTCCTCATACCGTGCGTTAACCTTGGGAACCATTCGCCTTTCTTTGATTCACCTGCCATTTCGTTTGGATTTTATGGTTTGCTGCTCATTTGGCTATTTACGATGACTTATTTTCGTTTTGTTTCCATTCTCACATTAGCGGCTTAATGGCCTGCTTTCATTTTGCGTACTAGCGGCTTAATAGCTTGCTTTCATTTTGCATACCAGCGGCTTAATGGCTTACCTTCGTTTTGCACGTTAGCGGCTTAATAGCCTGCTTTTGTTTTGCTTTATATCGAGCGGCCTAAACAGGGCCTGCTTTCATTTCGCTCATTACATTTAGCGGCCTAAACAAGGCCTGCTTTCAGTTTGCACATTGCATTTCTTTATCTGAACTTGAGTGGTGACATATATTCTTTATCTATGTTCTATCCCATCAATACTCATCAATCTATAAGCACTGTTAGGCAGCACTCTACTTACTTGGTACGGACCTTCCCATGTAGGAGACCACTTCCCGAGTGTATTATCTTTGAGTCCTTCGGGTAGCACTGCCTTCCATACCAAATCTTCTTCTTGGAATGTTCGCCGACGTACCTTTTTGTTGTAAGCTCGCGCTACTTTCACTTTACTTGCCCTGATATTCTCCAAAGTCATCATCCGATCCTCGTGTATGTCATCCAATCTTTGTAACATCGCTGTGTCGTACTGCTCGGGACTAAGCGAATTTTGCTTTAACACTCGTAACGATGGCACCGTGATTTCCAATGGCAATATCGCTTCTTGTCCATAAACCAGTTGGAATGGAGTGCAACCAGTGGCTTTATTTCGGTATTGCCTGCAAGCCCATAAAGCTTCCCCTAACACTTCGTGCCATCTTCTCGGGTTATCTTCTATGGCCTTTTTGATTACCTCAATTAAGACTTTGTTGGCTGCTTCGGCCTGCCCATTTGCCTGCGCATAATACGGGGACGAATGCAGAAGAGCAATCCCATACTATGCGGCGAAGGCGGCCACTCTATCGCTGGTAAAAACAGTGCCTTGATCGGCGGTAATCGTCTGCGGTATTTCGTACCGGTGAATAATGTGCTCCTTAATGAACTTGATCACTTCCTGATATGTCACATTGGCCAACGGTACAGCTTCTATCCATTTTGTGAAATAGTCCGTGGCCACCAATATGAACGATTGGCGTTTGGACGATGGAGGGTGGATCTTCCTGATGATATCCATTGCCCATCCCCGGAATGGCCATGGTTTCACCACTGCGTGCATTTCTTCCGCCGGAATTCGGATCAAAGGACCATGTCGCTGACACGCTTCACATCCTTGAGCGTACTTGATACAATCTTCCGTCATTGATGGCCAGAAATACCCATATCGTCGGATCGTCCATCTCATGACTGGCCCGGATTTGTGTGCTCCACAAATTCCTTCATGCACCTCACCCATCACCTTCATGGCTTCTTGATTATCTACGCATCTCATTAACATTCCATCGGCGGCTCTGCGGAAAAGATCTCCGTCAATCAGAGTATATTTCAGAGCCTCTTTCCGCAGCTTTTCCGGAGTTTCACCGGTTGGTTGTTCCAAGTATTTCTTTAGTTCCATACGCCAATTTTCCACATCCACTGGATACAGATATACTCGGCCCGATTTGAAGTTTCCTACGGCTGATGATTTATACGCAGAGGCTTCTTGGGCCAAATCATTAGCTATCCTGTTTTCGGCTCGAGGTATGAATTCCACCACCGCGTCGTCGAAAGTTTGCAACATCCTAACTACTTCCGTTCGAAGATTTCTCATCCTCTCATCTTTGCATTGGAACTCTCCAGTAATCTGCTTCAAAATTAGCTGTGAGTCGCCTTGAACTCTGATCGCCTTAGCCCCCTTTCCATGTAGGATTCTCAATCCAACTAATAAGGCTTCATATTCTGATTGTTAGTGAATCTGGGTGTCAATAACCTGGCAACAGTCCATTTTTGTCCCCAAGGACTCTCGATGAATACCCCAGCTCCAGCACTCGTCTGCGTGCTAGACCCATCGAACTTCAGGATCCACGGCATTGGGCTGATAACAGCTTTTATACGGTCAGTCGCTTGGACAATTTCCGAGCTCAGATGATCTGCTATAAAATTAGCAACAACCTGTCCCTTAACAGCTTTGATCAATACATATCGTAGATCGAACGCCGCTAGCTTTACGGCCCATTTTGCTTGTCTTCCCCTTAAAGCTGGCCTGCCTAACAGATATCTCAAAATATCGACGTGACATACCACTTCTGTTTCTCTCGGGGCTAGATAATATTCAAGTTTCGTACAAGTGTAAAATAATGCAAGACATAATTTTTCCATAGGAGTGTACCTTGTCTCTGCATCATTCATTACCTTACTAAGGTAAAAAATGGCATGTTCGTTTCTATCGGGAGCTTCCTGCGCCAGTAAGCAACCAACCGTATTTTCAGTGGCGGAAACATACAAGCACAAAGGTTTGCCTACTTGCGGCGGCATCAACACTGGTGGATTGGCCATAGCTCCTTT